TAATTTAGGTAGTTTGTATCTTTTTAACTGCTGCACTTGGTTTACCAGAATCATTAATTCCAGTTCAATTACTATGGGTAAATTTAGTAACTGATGGTTTACCAGCAACAGCACTTGGTTTTAATCCACCTGATTTGGATATTATGGAACGTCAACCACGAAAATCAAAAGAAGCTTTAATAACTCCATGGCTTTTCTTTCGTTATTTAGCCATTGGAAGTAAATTCCATTCATTTAATTTATTTTTTCTTCAAAAATTTAACTGTTCTCATTTTAGCTTATGTTGGTTTTGCTGTTGTATGGAGTGCAACATGGTGGTCAATGCATGCTACAAATGGTCCGCATCTTTCTTATTGGCATTTGGTATGTATGCAATTTCATAATGAAGTTTTTTTTTATTTGAAAGACGAGGAAAAAAGAATTAGTGAAAGAAAACTAAGTTAATAAAATGTAAAAAGAAACTGATATTTTAAGGTCGAGCGTAATATTGTTGCGATAAAAATATGTGGTAAGATAAAAGAAACCAATGTTATAAGCATGTACTTATTCTATGTATGCGTGTCATGTATGGTTTTTTTTATAATGAATTTGAAAAATAGTTTGCTTGATCGTCAATAAGTTGAGATGACGAAGAAGAAATTAATTTTGAACAAGAAAAGTAATTAATAGTTGAGCTTTTTGAAAAGCATGTATTTTGTTGAATGTTTTTTTTTTCTTTTGTCATCGAATAAAACAATTATCTTATTTTAGAAAAATCATTTTAAATGTCGTATTGGTGGCAAAGAATGGGAAGGTATTAATTGTTCTGTCTTTGATGATCCACATCCAATGACAATGGCACTTTCAGTACTTGTCACTATTGAAATGTTAAATGCACTTAATAGGTTTATTATTTAAAGAAAAATTTATTTTTCTGAAATCATTTCATTGTTTTCGTTTTTCTTAAGCTTATCTGAAAACCAATCTCTTCTTAAAATGCCACCATGGACAAATAAGTATTTATTATATGCAATTACTTTATCAATGTCTTTACATATGATGATTCTTTACATTCCAATGTTTAATGTAATTTATTTTTATATATTATTTTTATATTAAATTTTGTTTTTTCTTTTTTTATTCTTAGACTGTATTTCAAATCTGTCCACTTTCATTAGAAGAATGGTTGGCTGTTATTAAAATCTCTCTACCGGTTATATTACTCGATGAATTACTCAAATTTACAGCACGACGATATATTGATCGTAAGAAATTAATTAAGAAAAAAGAAACAAAAATTCTTGTTTTTTATTGTATTTTAGGTGGTCTACAATCAAAACCTGTGTTACCCGATGTTATGTCAATGTTTAAAAATGATTTAACTCCAATCGATAAAATATCAAATCATCATGCAACTCATATTGATTAGAACAAAAAGAACATTAAAAACGAAAATTTTTGTTTCTCAATAAACGCGTTTTTTTAATCTTATTTTGAGAAAAAGACAAATTTATATTGTAAACTGGATAAAAGAATTTATCTGATAAAGTTTAATGTTTTTTTTTCCTATATTTGATTGAATGAATACAAAACAAAAAAAAAAGAAGTTCTATGCATGCTACTATTCATTGAAAAATAATTTAAAATAATATTTATTCAATAGAGTTTATATCGATATAATAGAATTCTGTAATAAATGAATAAAATAATGTAATAAAAATCTAATCCATTCCTAATTATTTATTCATTTTATGAACATTCTCGATGTCATTTCCGATGTCTGAATGATAGTTCTATTGACATTCTAAGTACAATTGAGTTGAGAGGAAATGCTGACGAGTAATGAGAACGATGATAAAAAATTATTCATGCAAAGAAATCTTCAATTATGTTTTTTGATACTTATTTGTTGTAATCATCTTTTAGTATTCTTAAAATATTCCATCTTAGATAACGAACGATTGAATATTAATCTATGATTGTTTTAACCATGTTTATTTCATTTTCAGCGATATATAACATGTTAAACATATTTCCTCAATGTACTACTTATGTATGTCATCAAAAATTTCTCTTTTTATGAGGGATATTTATCAAAATTTTTCGAAGGTCATAAATAACTGTCAAATATCGTTTTTTAATTATTTGCTATTCATTTGCATACAAATTAACTGAACATACTTGGTAAAAAGAACATTTTTGTATGAATAATTATTGAATTAATCTAATTATATCTGATAAAAGCTTATATATACGAAAAAAAACCAGCTGTTAAATACGCAAATCTGTTCAAATTTACTAATATAATTTATGTATTAAAACATCAATATTCCAGTTATCGGAATCACTGTGACCGTAGCATTTCTATGTAACCTTCTCAATGATATAAAGGATATGAAATGCAAAAAAAAAAACAAAACTAGGGAACAAACTGAACTTATTTGAATATGATAATAGACAATCTTATCAGTATGCAGTGAAAGTAGTTAACAAGGTTTTCCATCATTAATCGACTTGAATGGCAACATGCAATATTCATATTAAACTAATTTTAAGATAAAAATTTGATTGTCATCAAACTTTTATCTATAAATAATTTTATTTTGTTCTGTCAATCTATTCTGAATGACTAAATTTGAATAGTAATTATCCATTTTTGCATAGCACACGACTGTATATTCCTTTGAATAATTCAACAAAAGAACCAAACTAAACCGAACGGTTACTGACAAACAACACAAATATAAATTATGTTTTTTGTAGATCATTTCTACCCAATAATCAGTTGCCGTCTAACTTTGTTTTGTTGACAGAATTTTTTTCGTTGATTTGTATTAGGATATATAGCTGACAATGAATATATTGATAGCACCTGTCTATATGATTATATTTACCACAAATAAGTCTAACAATTCGATGACGCTAATGATAAGTAATGTTATATAGAAGATTGCTTCTATAGTTGTTGTTATCAATATTGTTGATTGGTTTTTATATTTATATTCTAATTAAGACAATAAACGATATTATTTTTTTGTCCTGTTTAAATAATCAATAATATCTTCTTGAAAAATTTATCAGTGCAAATAAATAACTTTATAATTAGCTTTGTTGTTTTTATTTTAATAGCTTCCATATTCTTTTTTTGTAACTCGCAAAATATTTGCTCGTCTACATATGTTTCTTTCATTATGTACATGCCGTTAGTAGAAAATTCCCTTATTCATCTATTTTTGTGTATGCAGTATAATATTTCTCTTGATGGATCAACGACATACGATCATTGTCGATCTTTAATGTAAGTAAATCTTGTAGCAGATGCAACGATATGAAAATAGACAAAAGAGCAGGAAAAACATCGAGACATAGATAGCAGTGGGAGGTGATGATGGAATTGGATCGATCGTCTCCATTGCTTAAATCTACAAGTGATTGATGATGATGATCAGTAAAGAAGAGAAAAGAAAAAAAAAAAAGAACGATCTTGTTGATGTTAATGTTGTTGTCATTCATTCGTCACCTCTTTATAGAACGTCGAGATAGTAAGATATTTGCCTTGCCCTATACCTCTTTCATTATTTAACAGCTTTTTGTTCGGATAGTATCATTTTAATAGTATTGAAAAACTATTATTTTTCTTGTTTTTCGATTTTTCGATTTTCATCATATAAGATATCTATTAATGTATTTATTGAATTGTAAATTGCTATTTTACGATCTTCATCAATAATCATCATCATTTTGTTTTTCTATACCCGTATTAAGGCATCGATACTTTCTCTGTTTTTATTCTAGTGCATTTCTGGTTTGTCGTTCTTTGACTGTTTACTATGATCATCAATGTTGATGACAAGAAATGTACTTATTGATAAACAGTAGAAGTAAACTAGCAGTGTAATAAGATTTATATAACGGAAATAGAACACAAATTACGTTTGTGTATTGTCTTTTAACATTAGCAATTATTGTTTGTTTTTTCGCGTTATTTTCATCGTCATTATTCGTCTAGAATAGTCTTGTACTTTTTTGACTAGGAATCTGTCTCTACATATGCAAATATAAGAGATAAATTGTGGTGGCATTGCGTGCAAGAACAAAAAAAAATGCTCTTTGCTAGATTAGAGTGCCAAAAGAAAAATGTCGATATGATAAAGAGAGAATATTTAACAACATATGTTGGAAACAGAGACAAGAGAGAGACACCAAATAAACAGAATATGAAGTCGACAATATATCCTTGAACTCATCATGTTTATAGACAATATATAGTAAATATTTGCGCTTAGTTTCTTTTGAAATAACATGTAATATTCAATAGGTGTCTAGGGACATCGTAAATTGCATAGTCACGTAGATAATCACAATGATAAAAAGACACTAATATCATTGTCCCTTTTATTTATTTGTTTATTTATTTATTTATTTATTTATTTATTTATTTATTTTTTCTATTAGATATTTTTTTTTAAATAAGTCGAAACACTTTATAGCTATTTCTTTTTGCCATGTAAATTAACATTTCACAGAAGCATAGATGTTAGTCCTTTATACTTTCGCATTTATATATAAAATAACCAGTGTCATATTGATGGATGATATAGGCATAGAAAAGCCTACGTTATTCGTATGAAGTGTATATGTTTTCTCTGATTTTAATTATCGAAGCATTGCTTCGAAGAGTTAACCTTGTTCGCAGCATGATATCATTCGAAAACAACAACAACAACATGACGATAACAATTCTACTTCTTCTTCCTTCTCCTCATATCATTGCCATTATTGCATTTGCATAGACAACGGCTGACGTAAATCTATTTTTCCTACAGTTTGTGCGTATCGTCAATATAGCTTTGTATGAAGGTGCCGATTCTATGAATAAACTGTCTTTGGTAAGGAATAGACAAAAAAGAAGAAGAAGAAGAAGAAGAAGAAGAAGAAGAAAAAACTGTAGAAAGGTATACGATAATAGTCTGTGGTATTATTGTACATACATAGAAGTGTAGAGGATGAGAAAGAAAAAATATTACTAACAAGTCAAAGATGTTCTTGTAGTTTGGATAATATAGAAGAACCACCAAACATCATAAGAAAAAATTTCTTTCTCTCTCAGCGGTTGATTTGCGGTGTATATCTTTGTAGAAATGGCGATTGAGTGCTAGATCGTTTATTTCTGTTTTTTCTTCTTCTTTGCTATTCGACGACAACAAGAACAACCAGTTATTGTTGTTGTTTCATTTCTCTTACGTGTGCATGGTACCGCCTTCTGTATATCATCATCAACCGACTAATTCGAACACCAATTATTTCCTTCTTTTATTTTTATTTTTATTTTTTGTTTTTCTTAAATATTAATTTCGTCTAAAAATTTTCCTTCATCATTCAATTTAGCCAAAAAAATCTGTAATTGGTAAGTATTATAGAATATTGGTGCATTTTGGATAGTTTTTTTCTATTTTCAATGCGAATATAAATGTCATATTCCTCTTTTATTTGACATCCGCCCTCGATATAGGAATGAACATGCGCGCATGCCATCAAAATAAATTAGAAAATGTAAATCATATCTTTTTTTTTATTCGCTTCAATAAATGTATAAAAGCCTGTCTCACTGAATGTGTAACTAGATCATTAAATATATTGTTTGATTATCTAGATGTTCCTTCCTATTTAAGTATTAATAACTCATATTATAACTACAAGTATTCTTATTGATTAAGGTTTAAAATAAAAATACAAACTAATTCAAATATTAGTTTTCCGAGAAGAAAATCTTAAGTATCTTTGTCATACATTGACTACATAAACTAGTAACAGATTTAGGAAGAGAATGCTGAGAGTAATCGTCCGCCTTCCAAAATATTTTTCTCGATTTTTTTCTAGTAGAAAAGGCTTAAAAGTGAGCTGATAATATCTCTAATGAGCTCCAAAACACGTTTTATGATGATCGTCATCATCATTCCCCATCATAAAAATCCTAGATGCGCTACTGACATAAACTGACTTTGCATTAGTAATAAAAGAGTACTTATTATTTATATTCATAAATAAAAAAACAATATGTTTATCCTTATAATAACAAATAAACACGACGCAATTTATGAAATTAATGCTCGAGACCGTTATCTTTTTTTGATTGTGAATTTTGATATTCGTTTAACAGGTATTTTGCACTATGGAAAGGTATCACAGCTGCTGACATGATATAATGTCAAAAGATGGAACACTTTTCCATAATAATGAATACCACCTTTAATGCTATCGTATATTCAGGCTGAAGCATCTGATAAATGAATATACTTAATTTCTAGCATAGGTAGACATTTTTCTTAATAAGGATTATCCGTAAGTTTTAATAATAATTAACTAAAATTTTTAAAGGAGTTATTTATAAAATATTGTTTGTTTACATAACTATTCAAAGGCTACACGTTTATATTCATATTAAAAGTAATACTTCAAAGGAATATGCTTCATAATTACTCATATGAATATAAACTGAATGATCCTTTATAATCGATGAAAAAATAAGTATATTTCATTCAAGCTTACAAAAAAACATTCACATTTTTTTTTGTACGCGCCAAAAATAAACTTTTAGCTAACCTTGTGCATAGCTTATCATTGCAGGGAGAAAACAGTAAACATTAGATTATGGTCTTGTACAGTGACGCATTTATGATTTCTTTTTAGCGAATAGGCTGTCATAAAATATTACCTATAGTCAGTTTAGAAATAAAAAATGATTAATATAGTGCGCTATTTTTATTACATTTCATTCATTGAATATTGCTTTTTCGTATATATCAAAATAGCTTAATCAACCGTATCAAAAACACTTCAACATCAAGGTGAAATTCCGTTATGCTTAGCGACCTCTATATCGAATTGATTTCATTTCAAATAGAAAGAATCTTTCAATATGTGTTTGAATTTTTACCGTTGACGAGGAAAAAAATTAAATATTTTCCATTGATCAGATCTAGTGATTGGAGTTGATCAAAAAATTTGATCGTTCTTCAATTAGCCAAACCAACCAGTAATGTAATGCATCGGTGAATATTCGATGGGACAAAGAAAAAAAATGCATTAATGTCAACATAGTACACATTTGTGTGCATGTTTTTAATGTTTAAAGAAAACTGACATAGAGTGAAACATTACAGTTTCCAGCTGTGTCATATATGGAGATCGATTAAAACACCTGCTACGCTTTTACTCTAGGATATATTTTTATAAATTTTAGATTGCCATGCATCGGCCAAGCGTGGCTCGTCGTTTGTCCATGTCAGTGACAGTCATTGACTATCCATGGACGAAAACAAAAGAAGACGTTGCAGCCTTCTATAATGTTGAAGAGAGTAAAGGTCTCTCTGAAGAACGAGTTAAACGTGATCTTGAAAGATATGGACCTAATGGTAAATAAAAAAAAAACAATTGCATATATATACATATAATTAAAATGATTTGTCTTCATTCAGAACTCCCAGCCGAAGAAGGCAAACCACTATGGAAACTTATCTTAGAACAGTTCGACGATCTTCTAGTCAAAATTCTACTTGCTGCTGCTTGTATTTCATTTGTATGTTGATACATTTTTATTTTTTTTCAATGTCAATTTAATTATATAAACCTTTTTCTTTTTCAAATAGGTATTAGCTTTATTTGAAGAACATAAAGAAGACGATAATCTGATAACAGCTTTTGTAGAGCCACTTGTCATTCTTCTTATTCTTATTGCCAATGCAGCTGTTGGAGTTTGGCAAGTTAGTTTAAATCTTCTATTTGTTAATATTTGTTAATATAAAATAATATAAAATAGGAACGTAATGCAGAAAGTGCTATTGAAGCATTAAAAGAATATGAACCTGAAATAGCTAAAGTTGTACGACAAAATCGACCAGGACAAATTCAACAAATCAAAGCTCGTGATCTTGTACCTGGTGATATTGTTGAAGTAGCTGTTGGAGATAAAGTACCAGCTGATATTCGTATAACAACAATTTATTCAACAACACTTCGTGTTGATCAATCATTATTAACTGGTGAAAGTGTATCAGTTATTAAACATACTGATCCAGTATCGGATTCACGTGCTGTTAACCAAGATAAAAAGAATATTTTATTTTCTGTAAGAAAATGAATTCGGAAATTCTTTAGTAAATTTTTATTGTTAAATTATTTTAGGGAACAAATATAGCAACAGGAAAATGTCGAGGTGTTGTTATTGGAACTGGTTTGAATACAGAAATAGGTACAAGAATATCAGAATAAATGAAAAATACTTTAGTTTTATTATTTAAGGTAAAATTCGATCGGAAATGGCTGAAGCAGAAGAAGAAAAAACACCATTACAACAAAAATTAGATGAATTTAGTGAACAATTATCAAAAGTATTATATATAATTCATTAAAAAACTAAATATTTTTTTTTATTCTTTTTTTCTATAAAGGTTATTTCAATTATTTGTGTGGCTGTATGGGCTATTAATATCGGTCATTTCAATGATCCTGTTCATGGTGGCTCATGGCTTCGTGGTGCTATTTATTATTTTAAGATTGCAGTTGCTCTTGGTTTGTTGATCAAAATTATTTTTTTTTAAACTAATTCACAAAAAAAAATTCTTTTTAGCTGTTGCTGCAATTCCTGAGGGTTTGCCAGCTGTTATCACAACTTGTCTTGCATTAGGAACACGTCGAATGGCAAAAAAGAATGCTATTGTTCGTTCACTACCATCTGTTGAAACACTTGGTTGTACATCAGTTATTTGTTCGGATAAAACAGGAACATTAACAACCAATCAAATGTCTGTTTGCTGTGTAAGAATGTTTGTTTTATTGTTTATCATATTGCGCATTAATTTATTATTCGTTTTCGATTTATTTCAGATATTTATATTTAACAAAACCGCTATAAATGATGTAAAAATCGAACAATTCGAAGTAACTGGTTCAACTTATGAACCTAAAGGAGATATTCTTTTCGATGGTATGAAATTTAACTGTTCGGATCGTAGTGGTTTAGTTGAATTAGCTGAATGTGCAGCATTATGTAATGATTCATCATTAGATTATAATGAAGTCAGTCATATCTTTCCTATTCATTTCTCCTATTTATTATTCGTTTTTTTTCAATAGACAAAAAAAGCTTTTGAAAAAGTTGGTGAAGCAACTGAAACAGCATTGACTGTTCTTGTTGAAAAAATGAATGTATTCGATACAGATAAATCTCATCTATCATTACATGAATTAGCTATGGCATCAAATACAATTATTCGACAAAAATATCGTAAAGAATTTACATTAGAATTTTCACGTGATCGAAAATCAATGTCAAGTTATGTTACAACAGCAACAAAAAGTTCAAGTGGTAGTAATGAATCAGCAGCCAAAATGTTTGTTAAAGGTGCACCTGAATCTGTTATTGATCGATGTACACATATTCGATGTGGAACACAAAAAGTACCCATGACACCACAAATTAAACAAGAAATATTGCATTTAGTTCATCAGTATGGTGCTGGTCGTGATACATTACGTTGTTTAGCATTAGGTACTGTTGATAATCCACCACGAAAAGAAGATATGAATTTAGAAGATTCGAGAGAATTTGTTAAGTATGAAGTATGTAGATGGTTTTTTTTAATATATTGATATTAGGAAAAGGAGTATTTGTTTTTTTAATTTTATAGACTAATATAACATTTGTTGGTGTTGTTGGTATGCTTGATCCACCACGTGCTGAAGTTCATGAAGCCATCAGCCGATGTCGTAATGCTGGTATTCGTGTTATTATGATAACTGGTGATAATAAAAATACAGCTGAAGCTATTTGTCGTCGTATTGGTATTTTTAATGAATTAGAAGATACACAAGGTAGACTATTTGAAATTTATCTTTCTTTAAAAGTCTTGTTCTTTAATTTTTATCGTCTTCAGGTAAAGCATTTAGTGGTCGTGAATTTGATGATCTTTCACCAGAAGAACAATCAGAAGCTTGTCGTCAAGCAAAAATGTTTGCTCGTGTTGACCCAGCACATAAATCAAAGATTGTTGAATATTTACAATCACATGGCGAAATAACAGCAATGACAGGTGATGGTGTTAATGATGCACCTGCTTTGAAAAAAGCAGAAATTGGTATTGCAATGGGTTCTGGCACAGCTGTTGCTAAATCAGCATCAGAAATGGTTTTAGCTGATGATAATTTTTCAACCATTGTTGCTGCTGTTGAAGAAGGTCGAGCTATTTATAATAATATGAAACAATTTATTCGTTATTTGATATCATCAAATATTGGCGAAGTAAAGATAATTATCTAGACGAAAAGAAGAAAAAA